GTAGATTATGAAAAGTAGTGGACCAAAAACACTGCCCTGCACAACACCACTGGTAATTGTTCGAGGTGTAGATGTATGTGACTTGATTTTGGTAACCTGATATCTATCTGTGAGGAACGACCTAATCCATTGCAACAGGTGGCCACTAATACCGACGGACTGAAGTCTGTTGATTAAAAGACTGTGAGGTACCTTATCGAAAGCCTTTTTGATATCAAAATACAACACGATTACTAGTTGCTTTTGATCGCGTATGCTGGTAACCTCATTAAAGAAATCTAAAAGACATGTGGTGCATGACCTAGTTCTAATGAAGCCATGTTGAGAGGGGTCAATGTGACCTTCCCTGAGTAAGTGATCAGATGGTTTATCTTTTATCACTTTCTCCATCACACGTGAAATAACAGGAGTGATATTAATCGGTCTGTAGTTTTGGACTAGGTCTTTCGGTCCAGATTTATGTACTGGGACAATATGAGTCAACTTCCACGATTCGGGGTATGTACCAGACTCAAGGGATAAGGTAAAAATTTCAAGCAACAGCGCTGGAAGGTTCGGTCCTGCCATTTTAAAAAGTATGGAAGGTATCTCATCCGCACCACAGCTGCCATTGGGTTTAAGGGTTATAATTGCCGCTTGAATATTATTAAGATCAAATTTGATGGTACACAGATTATGCATAATGCTACATTGAGTGTTAGTATCAGGGGTAGGAGATGTGCTCAGATTGAGGGAGAACCACGTACTAAACATTTCGCAAATAACAGCTTCGTCATAATAAGTCTGTCCATCTTGTAGTATATAATGAATTTTGCGATCTGAGTCCATTTTTATGCGTTTGTTAAGCAAACGACAGAGGTTTTGGGACTTACACGCAGTATTTTGAGTGGGATAGTAGTGTCTAGAGCAAATTTGATGGTGACGTTGAATATATGTAATGCATCGCATCAGGAAGTTCAAGACAAGAAAAAAACGCAGTCCAGTTTGAGTGCTGAATTAGAAACCGAAAGCTGTCTCAGTCAGCATGTTTATAGTCTCTGTATTGAAAACGGTTTACTGTTTTAGATTTGTCACATTTAGCAAAAACGAAAGGGTGCAGAGGACAATGTTATGGTCACTGTTGTGAAACGTTTCGCAGACAGAGACAGATGTTGGGGTGAAATCGTGACAAAATACCGAATCGAGGATATTGTGGTTCCTAGTAGGCTGGTGCACATGTTGTTGCCAACCATGTGTGTCTAGAGGACCAAGTAAGCTATCAAAGCGTAGTGGACCGGAATGTGTCTGCCAGTTGATTCCAGGGAGGCTGAAGTCACCACAAATAATTTTGCAGGTGAATTTAAGACAGGCAGCCCTGGCAAACGACTCACCAATAACAACGTCAACCGATCGATGAGTGTTTGGAGCTTGATATATGCATCCGACCAGTATTTTACATTCATGGGCGTGCACAGTAGATAAGGAGTGAACCATTTCAGTTTGTACAGTTCTCATCTTTAAACAAGTAAATAGCTCCTACAGTTGGCTCGACCTAGCCTGACTACAAATCTTCCATACAGGTCAACTCCAACATACTCATATAGATAATTGTCCATTTCCACTCTCCACGCTGATAGTTGCCCTGTATAGACCATTCCTCCTCCGACAATTCACACTTAATTATATATATATATATATATATATATATATATATATACATCAAAATCCTGCAACAAGGTTGTAGTATGCCTTTGCCTAGGTCTTGTTCAGCAGCGCAGTTAGTGGTAAGGTTATATTTGAAACAAACAAACTGTTCAACGTTCAAAATACTATAATACAAAATATACTGCACACATAAGGTAGGGAAATAAATGCACATCTTAGACACTGTTTTAATTTAAACTGATGGATCCGGTTAGCGCGTAACTACCTAATCTGGGGTGCCACATTTCACCACCACGGAACATTTCCCAAATGTTCCCCTTCTTGTTGGGTAATCAAATTCCATGCTTGCTGTCCTACACTTCTGAACCACAAGAGTGTTTGCACACAGTTCTAGACGTAGCAAAGTAATAGTTCTCGAAAGGGTTCGCCGAGCCTTTGTCTATAGCAGTTTTACACATATTTATTCACTTTCGAGTAAAGTAACGTACTCTACCACTCAATATCCCATTTCTGAAGCATCGCAGAATAAGTACAGCTCTGATCGCCGGTTGCTTCCGCTCAATTGTCCCTGCCATGTAGTAGCTAAATGAATCAAAAGACAGTGAGTCCACTTTTCCAACATATAATGAACGACGTTGTTCCAAATCATTTTGTTTTTAAGAGACTCCTCATGTACTCATGAACAGGCCTAGAGAATTAGGAGGAAAACTTTGATGACATATCGGTTTGTAGGGTGCATCTGGCACAAAGCCAGATGCACCAATCATCACTTTACTCTCTGACTCACCAGTATGCTCCGTAAGTGATGGTTCTATAGATTAATCACGCATTTTAAATTTCTGGTCTAGCAGCTCCACACATATTGCCATTTCACGGTTACAAATAGAACTTATCGACCTAAATCCTCCTTTCATCAATACATTTGGAAAATTAGTTGTAAGGGTTCTAGTCATTTCCATGCCCCCGAAAGACGCCAGGGAATCGTTGACGTAAAAGCACTTGTCTACCGCTACTACCGGATCTGGTTTCTTTTACCGAAACATAGCTAAACCTCAACATAAGCTAAAGTAAGGTTATGACGTGGCACCGAATGGGTGGACAGTCATTCTGTGCTCTGAGAAGATTTTCCTGAAATCATTGTCTCATCAAAAGAACCTCAGTTGATCGCGTAGGAGTATCTCCTTAAATCCACTGCACTCGCGATCGGATGTTGTCTGAATCGTAACAGAACTCCTAAGAATGAACATACACAATTTGATAAACTTAACAAGATGTTGTTTGTGGACAGACGTTAATGTTTAGCCAAGTAGTCAAATACGACTCTGACCTTACCCGGTTTTCTCATGTTTGTAGCGAGTTGATGTGGCAGGTACCGACCTTCGGGTGCCTGCTCTGAAACCCCTTCAACATACTCTTTCTCCATGTGTAAATGTATTACATACTTATTTTCCGTCCACAACTTATTATTCCTTTCAAACCTACTTCCCAACCTATTAAGGCAGTTGACCGATGCTTAGCAGTCATAAGGTATTCGTTCTCTCATTCTCTACCATGGAAGGCATATCGAGCTATTGTCACCATTGAAATCACACGATTTCACCTTCAGCTTCACTGCTCTGAAGTCTACAACCGACAATTACTTCACTTCCCTATCACTGCTCTGGACTTGTTTAGGCGGCCAAGGAGCCCTTAAGTATCCCTCTGAATGTTCTACAGATACCCAGAAACAACAGAAAACGTTTCATCTAATCAGCATTGGTTAGAATCTTTGCAGAAATGTCTGAAAAATTCTTCACTATGTGCCCCGATTCTGACTAGATATAGTAATACTGATCTTGATCAGTAGCTGTAAAATCACTCATTTTTCTGCACATAAACTAACATTGGAATAAAAATATCTTACGTTACTTGATGGCTTTTCTCTTGCGTCCAAGTTGCAGTGTATATTGAGAGGGGATTTATTATCTATGACGATGGGAAAAACTAAAATTAATATAAGTTTCGGAAAATTAGAATCCTAACTGCAGTGTCAGTGCAGAACGCTTGAATAGCCGCAAGTGCGAATTATTGAAGCGCATATAGAGCAAATATGTTTTGATTAGCGAATCACCGTCAAGTGTATGTATAAATATGTCGGACCCACGGGGCTTATCCAAGCCTTTGGACAAATCAACTAATCCATCATTCTCGAGTCATTGTCCACACATCTTTCGGTTATAACCTTGGTTGTTTTTATTTGATTGCACCTGTGCAATGCTAACTTGGCTCACTTTTATATATGCTTAAACAAGTATGTGGATTGTTTTCTTATTGACCTCTTCAGACTGGGAGACGCTTCAAATTCAGAATTTTTTCAAGCAAACTTGGGAGAGCGGGACGCAAACACTAGTTACTTTATTCTTTAGAAGTAGAGACAGGATTTTCGTATGTTTCCGTCAAGAGTAATGTTTTTCACACTCACATCTGGAGACGGCTTCCGACATAATACCTATCAGTAGAAGAAGAGAATATCGGCAGAACAATAATTCTTCCAGCTAAAGAATCAGACTACGGTGCAGGTATGCGTTGTTTAATGTTGTCGGTGAGATATACAGCGAAGTCATGTTCACCTCTTGAGTTACTGGGACTTGAATAGACAGAGAAGTTGAAGCAGACAGATTGTTCCATCAGCATGATTTTCACCAACATCAAGGTTATGGAAGTGGACGAGAAGAAACTTGTGGATGCACTGTTGGAACCAAAAAATAATATTTAGTGATAGTCTGGTAGGATGCACTATACCGATAGCTACCCTCACACTTGAAAGCGAAGCAAAGCCCATATTTAGAGAAAAAAGACCTGTGCTATACCCGACCCTACCAACAATAGAACAAGAATTAGAAGGATTTCAGAAAACCGGAGTAATTGAACCTGTAAAACCTGTAAAAACTTTTAACTCCCAAGGTGAAGTTAAAATGACCCAAATTATTTTTTCCGGTTGAAGTTTTTTTAGAAACTTCGTTAGTTTTCTACGTAATGGGTTACTGATCCCTTGCCCAACACACCTTTCCCCAGGTTTGGGACCGTCATTTATTTTAAAAGAGCTCCTGGAGAGGTTTATTTATCTCAAAGTATCAGCATGAAGTTGAAAGATATCAATCAAAAGATACGGATAATAATATGTCACACAAATGAGATGAGGTCTGATATGACCGTGTCGAACACTTTATCAAAACGTGCTTTTAAAAAGATCAAGAAGAAAGTAAATAAGATCAGTCGTTACCACTGCATATATAGGGAACCCGATTTTTTGCTGTTTCCAACCAGCATGTTTGGAATTTTGATGTTATCGCATGACTCTTGTTTTTTGTGTAGTGGCGCCATATGATTGTGGGGGATACAATTCAAGATGGAGGGACGTCCCATTTCGGATCTTAAGGTTGCTGAACTTCGCAAGGAGCTAGAAAAGCGCAACAAAGATAAGACAGGCGTCAAACAAGTGTTGTTGGATCGTCTTAAAGAGGTTTATTGTCTGATCAAGCTGACTTTTTAGACTTTAGAAAAAGATGGTCATGACCCCCAAACTTATCGTTTCAGAGATGGGATTGAAAGTATCAAAACTGACCAAGAACTGCCCGAACATTCGGTATGTCGTTACTAGTTTCTAACTTACGCTAATCTAGCCTGTAAACGGTGACGGACCAGTACCCGGTAAGTAGTTTCCCTATTCATGTTCATATGGACGTATGACACAAACTTGTTTACTCATTTGAAATCATTTTGTTTCCACAAGTCATTTCATCTCACAGTAACAGATCGGTAATAGAATACTTCTAGTCTCCTTGTGCGGCCGACTTCAACGTGCACGTAATGGACCAATAAAATCAACCTATGTAAAAACCTCGACAGTAAATTTAACTCAGTCACTCTTTGTGCAGTACGCGTAAAGCCGTGCAAACACTCACTTTTGATGCTAATGGACACTAGTGCATTCCTTATTGGTTGGGCGGGTCATAGCTCGTAATCTTCACACCATATATATTCAAGTTTTGTCGTACTACCTGAAAGAAGCCACTTTCCAAAGCCATACCCTGTTGTATATGAATCTGTAAATCTTGGATCGTCTCTACTTTTAGTGATCTGATCAACTGCCTATCCAATTGTAAATGAAAATCTGAAGCGGACAAAAGTTTATGATTCCTGTAAACAAATTCATCGTATTTTGGAAACAACAGGAAACCCTTGAATTTTGTTGTTATTATCGTAGGATCAATGCTGCGAGCAAGTGGCCGACTACTTTGCTTTGAACCGTTATGACCAGGAAAGTTTAATGTGGTTTGTATTCACCACCGCTGCTGCACAGTTCAGATTAAATGAGCTGTGATTAGTCATCATGTGCTTTATTTATCTCGTCGATCTACATTATATTTTGGTGTTGAGACGACTGTCACTAGAAGTCGGAATTGTAAATTATAATGTTCGTAGCCAAGTCGTCGTAAAGTATGATGCCCTGTCTTATACCTGGCGAGTATTGCTACTGCTTTCTCCAATAACTAGAAAGCATTGAACCTGTGCTAATCAAACTAATGGTAATAACTTTCTACTCTTATTCTATTGAAAGAGAAAACTGAACCCACCGCAAAAAGGCATAGCTCGTCAGATGACATGTTAAGCGATGAGTATGTTATCAGTGAACATTCAGTGCAGAAAAAGATTACCGAAGAAACTGTCCCGTACGTTGTTCAAGTTGGAGAGCAAGAGGAAGATTTAGATTATGATTTGAAGTGTGGAAACGACGTATCAGAAGTGACAAATAATAGCAACGATATCCAAGTCAAAAATGAAGAATTTGGCAAACATGAAAACCAACCAGAAAGGTTCGTAAATGTCTGTCGAATGATATGATTATATTTATCCACTTCTGACACAAGCTGTTTCTTTTTTCTAGTGCCGTTATCACTCATCAGATTAGTGGTATGTCCCATTTCGCTAAGTCACTTTACGTGTCAGAAAGCTGTAGAAATTTATGGATAAGTAACTTACCGAAATCGGTGAAGGCCGCAGACTTAAAGCAACATTTTAGCAAGGCGGGGAAGGTATGTTTTTTGTCAGTCAGGATAGTTTTTCAGGTAGTATCAGCTACTGTGGTTATGAGCACCCGCTCACCTGGAGGCTGCTTTGGATTTATACAGATGGCTTCTGCAGAAGAGGCAGCGTCTGCTGCCAGAGCTTATGATTTAACAGAGTTTGGAGGATGCATACTACGGGTTGAAGCGACAGAACGAAAAGCACCAATTCAATCAAACAAAGCAAACGATCGAGTACCTGGACTAAACAAATTAAAAACGTCTAGTGTTCCCGATTCTCGTCGTACCGTATCCAGACCACTGATATCTCGAAGTCGTTATATTGGTATGTCAGCATACTTTTGTCATTGTTCATATCATTAGCGAACAGACGGCGATTGTTGCGTCGTGCTGCCATAAAAAGTGCTATTTTGAGTGAACAACGAAGAAGGTCTGAATATTTGGCCGCTAGTAATCGTTTAAATTCCACTAAGAAAGCTCCAATCAAAAGACCTTTACGCCAGTTTACTAGACCGAATTACAGGATGTCAAAGGATAATTTGGTGAGTATGCCACAACATGATATTATTTTCGGAGCTATCGGTGTTGTAGTTGCATTTTGGACTTGTACTATTGTACTGTGCAGTATATAGCATGGAGTCATGGTTTGTTAATTATTAGGATGTCAGTTTCATGAAGTTGGCTATTGTGTGAATTCGCAACTAGATTTGCATTGGAAATGGAACCTTTCCAGAGCCATAACACGGAGGCGCTTTAATGGATAGTTCACCTGTCCTTGTGAAGAACGGAACATTGTCGCAGTAATAAAGTACATATACCAATTTAGTCCTCATATCGTCTTATGTAAGTGTGAGAGTTATATTGGGAAAACGACGTGATAGTCCTTGAATTTCCAGAAAGAATAACTGCACATTTACTGCAAGGATTTTGGGTTATTATTCAACCCTATATATAATGGAAGAAAATTCATCGATTTAAATCGAAACTTTGGAAAAGCACCGAAAACAACCATAAGAAGTTTCTAGTCAGTATTTCATGAAGGAGATTGCAAGAATATGAATTAAATATACTCACTCTAGTTTGCCATCTCAAAAACTTAGAATATTTGTGCGATTTGGTTAGTTTTAACTAATTACCTCATAGTTTATGAGTTTTTTGATCTATGCTTTTTGTAGCGTTCCCGAGGAAGTTTGGCTCTTGTATCTAGACATAAAACTATTTCACAACGGCAAAGCTCTACGCGAATCAAGTAAGTGAATAAGTGATCTTGATATGTTGTGGTATTTTCAGTAACCATTGGTGCTAACACAGCTTAATGACTAAAATGAGATTGAAGATCGTAGCACTTGATTCATTTCGTGAACTTGAAACTTTGACCTCACAGTTTGACATTGGGAGCAATTATTCATGGTTAATCTTGACATCCTTAATTCTCTAGGGTTTTGAATTTTATTTGAAGAAGCCATTCAGATATTCTTGATTTCAAGTAGACTGTGCTGCTAATCCAATAAATAATGCGAGAATTTAGCCGCTGTTACTTGTACTTTTCGGTCGAAGGATCTTCTTATGTATCCTGCCACTGGATTTTCAGACTTCAAATTTTTCAAAAAATAGCTTATAGCCTAAGAAGCTACACGCATTCAGTGTTACAGCATACTTAGGGGCTATTTTTAGAAAACATGAGCCTGCTGTTCACACTATCGTTTCGTTGAAAGAGCCACAACTACCAAAACAAAAATGACACGTAACCCTCATCAATAATCGCTTCCCTTCTCCACCAGTAATTCACAGTAAATAACATTTGTTGGAGTAGTACCCAGATGGATTTTCGATTTGTATACCTCATAACTATTCAATTGGCTGGGTCAAGAAATGTACTTGATGTAAAACAGGTGATAATAACTTTACCCTTAAACTAGGGACCGAAAATCTCGATCAAATCTTATTCTTACTCAGTTTCTCCGAACTCGCTGAACAAATAATGTTCCTCCATATCACTTCCAGATGTTACAGAAAAGTTTTGGTTCATTTCATATACTAGTTACTCCTTCACCCATATGAATTAGGAATAATTGTGAACCAATTTTTTTCTTCTGTGGTTTCAACTTATGTACTTAATGATAATCCTCAAGTTAGAAATGTGAACGGTTGACACTTCCCAGTTCTTCATACTGCATAAGGTTTTCTGCTCTCGAACCTGTTTTGCTTACTGTTGTTGTCATTGTAAAATAGGGTTGTAGCTAGAAAGCTCAAGAGATAACTGCTCAAGACCAGTTACGTCGCATTATGAGGCGACTACTGCTGTTATTTTCGTTCAGGGCTTTTGAGGAGGTGCTTCAAAAACTTGATATCTGCCATGGATTCATGTTAAAATCTTGCGATCGGCCCCGAAAGTCCGTGTAGAAAGAGCGAGGTATTCTGATTTTAATGCTTGCCTTTATTACCATCTTCAGTGAAATGACATCATCATAAGAGGTAATGGTTTTCCTTGTGAAACAGCATAACCACCATTCCCCAGTACATATAGTGTTATAATTTCTCACTTCAACCTGAAATCAGCATCTTTGGTTTTACAGCTCTCCAACCGACCTACCTGGTTTAGTGGAAAATCAGGGAACAGGCGTCTCAGTTCTTATGTTTCGGTTAGATCGTCATGTTAACCTCTACAGTCAGGTTTCAATAACGAACGTGTCTAAACGTTTCTTTTTTTGTTACCTGAATAAAGATCAGTTTAACTTTTGTCTTAACCACAATTTAAAACTCATTGTTGATATACATGGCGTCCTATTTATTCTTGCACAACTTCTTATGGCAGTATATTTTTGTCGTTTTGTCATTAATTTAAAAATGGTAAATGTGTTTGGTTATTTTTAATGATAATACTTGACTGTCTGTTTACATTGGTTCGGTAAGCATGCAGTTCTAGAATTTTAGCTCTACTTAAACATTTCAGCACCAATCAAGGGATACAATCGCTGTCACAAAGACAACTAAATTATGCCATCAGCCGAAGGTTGCGTGAAGAAATTCCTATTCACAAAAGTGCTAGTATTTCGCATCGGTCTTCTAAATCGTTTTTGCCTAGAGTGCGCAGAAATTCAAATTTACATCTAGAAGACCATCGAAGCTATCTTTCTTCACCCTCTTGTTTGACTTCCTTGAATACAATGACACCGAAGAAAACCCCGACATTTCGCAGTAATCGTTCTGTAGAAAGGGATTTACGTGAACTTTATCGCCCTGTTTTGTCAGAACGAAAGCGCTATCCTCAGTCATCACCTGGTCGATCCAACGCATCAAGTCGATACACACGAAACACTCAATCATCAGTCTACACAGAGAGAAACACTGTTAAACCGGTATATGATAGTCGTTCTCGTCAAAGTCATTTGGTGACCCGTTCTGAACCACGGTAGGTCACATCTTTAAATTTATTTTCATAAATATTCCTCAAATTCCGATTGTCACTTCTGGTCTGACGTCTACTTATACCATGCAATCCCTAAAACATAAGATCTAGCATATTGATTAGCGAAACGAAATATGTAGGTTATGCTCATAAAACTTGGGTTCTCATGTCGAAGTTACATTTGACCTCATAGTTTAAGGCTACACGTCGGTTGCATTTGGTATACACGCAAGAAATTTTATCTTTTAAAGGGTCTCTGTGATATGTAACCTAAGTTAATGAATATTTTGGGTCCCGGTTTTTTCCAGCTAATTGCGTTCATCGTTATTTTGACATTCAGCAAAAATTGATAGAGTTCAAGTTATCCGTTATGTATGTGAAATTAATTATTTTGAATTTGACTCAAAATTTTTTCTATTTTCTGAGTTAATGATCTGAATGCAATAATGTTTTAAGCAACAAAATTATTATTATGTTGGGGATAGTGAAAAGAATAACTGTAACTTATTCACCCAAAGTAATCGTATTATGTCAAAGTTAAAATTAAATAATCAGTTAGCGGGTTGGTGTACTTGATATTTGAATTTCACACTTGAAATTCCACGATTTATACTTTATAGTTTTCATATAACTGTTGTAGTTTGAAGATCAAAAGACATGTGGGAGAAAATAGTCAGTAATCTGTTTGTTTTGCAGACTGAAGAAGATATTTGGTACATATTTTGTCACTTAACTGTTTTCTCTAATTATGATATATTCCATTTGATTTGAACTGCTTCATCAATAACACTATTTCATATTACTATAATTAACCCATTGACGATAACGGTGATGAACGAAGTGTAACTGACCGGTTAACTTTGTATATCATACTTAGGTCACAAATAAATTAATTAACTAGGGTGAATATGCGATAGTACAGAATGAGCGTAAACTCTGAAATGACTTGTCTGTTAAAAATGAGAATGAATCCACATACACGTTAAAGTGGTTGCTATACTAATATTTTGCAGCTGCAACTTCAGTACAGTGAGAAAAACTGCTTCTATTCCATCCGGTGTCCCACTAACTAGAGTAAGAAGTTCGATTTGGTAATAGAAGCTTTATCGACTATGAATCCGGAAGAATTAAAAATATATTCAAGCCAATTATTTGTTTATTGATTACGGTGATCAGAGTTTATGAACTGAGTGATTGTTGCTGAACACAGAAAGTAGTGAGAATGGATTGGAATTTCCTAATGTGGTAAAAATATGCTGAAAGTTAAGCCTACCTATATTGAACACACGTTTAAACCTGTCTCTCTTTGAGTGTGTGCCACCGACCAGGAATTTGTAATGGACTCTGTTGTGGGTTCGTTTCCAGTTGTCACTGCATTATCCTGTTTGCTTAAATTTGCTTGCAGGTAGTACACGTGACATACATTAACTTGATGAGATGGAACATTCTTGATGCGCTACTCTGAATGGAGTAATTGCATAAAGGCATGATCCTACATTGATTGTAAGTTGAACTTCATTTGGTCTTGGTGTGGACATGACGAAGAGCGGAGTAAGGTTAAGCGCAAGCTGATAAAAAGTCAACGCAATGATCACGAACAGTGGTAGGTAGTGAAAGCGAGAGAGATGGAAAAGGTAGCGGCGATAGGTAACAGTGGACAACTGTTCAGAATTATCAAGGAGAGCGGAATTAAGGATCCGACTGTAAGTGAGACTATCTGGGAAAAGGATGGAGATTGGATAGATGGGCAGAACACAAGGGAACGGTTCACTCGGCCTTCAGGCACTCTTCGGTTACCCACGATCTGCAGTCAACGTGAATGTCGAATGGGTGTAAGTCCTCCAATTCTGAATGAAGTTGAGAATGCTATAGGAAATGTGAAAGGAGGTAGAACAGCGGGTCTTGATGGATTGACCGCTGAGATTTTCGAGGATGGTGGTCGAGTTTTAGGAGTTATATTGACAGTGATCTTGAGTCGAATTCGGGAGCTGTACGTAATCCTTTCTGACTGATTTCATTCACTGTCCCAGTTTATATGAAAGGACAAAAGTTCTCTTGTGACAATCACAGACGAATCAGTCTAGCTAATAGTGTCTAAAGTGTTAGCCTCGATAATGCTCCGACGCCTAACTGGATCTCGTGAAGAGCAGCCTCGAGCAAACCAGGCTGATTTCCGACATGGACGTGGATGTATGGACCACATATTGACTCTCCGAAAATAGTAGCATTCCTGACCTCAAAGCGGTATTTGACGCTGTCTATCCTGAAGGTTTAGTGGCAGTGTCTGTTATTGAAAAGAGTACCAAAGAAGTGCATTAACCTTATAGAAGCTCTCAACTCGGACACTACTGGCCGAGTCAGAGCTTATTGCGAACTGTCATCGGAACTGACTAGTTCATGTGGTGTTCGTCAAGGTTGTCCACTCTCTCCATTCTTATTCAACTTTGTCATAGACATTGTTTTAGAGACAACACTGTCTTCGTCTGAATTTTCAGGAGTTGAACTTTTACCGGCAGATTCACTTGTTGACTTTGAGTTTGCTGATGACATAGTTATATTCGATGAAGACGCTGACAAAATGCAGTCCTCTGACTATCCTGAGCAACACTGCAAGCATGTTCGGAATGCGATTCTCCCACTCGAAATGCCAAATGTTGCTTCAGGATTGGCTTGTCTCGGCACCTGAACTAGTGATATGGAGTGATGTAGTTGAGCGTGTCGATCTCTCCACTTATCTCTGGAGTCTCATCAGTGCTGATGGCCTGGTGGCTGACGAGATCTCAGGCTCGAGTGGCTTTTTCCAACTTGCGCGATTTACGGCGTAGACAGGATATCCGTCTACCAACCAAAGGACGTGTTTACTGCTCAGCAGTTGGTTTAGTCTTACTTTGTGGCTGTGAAACGTGGGTGGTAGGAGTTGAGGATATTCGTGTGTTACTGGTTTTCGATGATAGGTTTCTTGGAAGCATAGCTTGTATTTCCTAGGACAATCGAGTAAGGAATGCAATTGTTGGGAAACGCGTGCTAAGTAAGATTGGTAAATAGTTGATGTGGTTGTGACATGTGTTATGTATGTCCAACCACCGACTTCCTGGACGAGGGATGTTTTGTAGTGTAGGAGTGGGTTTGAAGGAAGGCAAGGGCGGCGAGAGCAGGACATGAGAGAAATTCATGAGGCCATTGACAAGTTGACTGAGCTGTGTTGGTAGGTGTCGACTACCTAGTTGTGGTACGCGAGGTGATAGTGACCGATGGTTAGAGACCTTAAATGACGTGGCTCAAAATTGTTTGTAATGGCGCAAGTGTATCCATTCTTTGTGCTCTCCCAAATTCTAATCTTCTGAATTGGTCATCACGTACGTACGAAGTTCTATGTTGCTGTTGATTGGTTGATTCATGTTTCTTTTTTTAAGTTTATTTTACTAGATTATAGTTCTTGAGTGATATCTTCAAACCGTGGTTTTTCCGATTACTGCGGATACTTCTGCTACCTCTACTACTATGGGGTTTGAATCGACAATAGCATCTCTGTGCTAATATGGTATGGGAACTTGAACTGATGTACATACGTACGAAGTTCCACGTAGTTGCTGACTGACTGAACGTACACTACACTGATTTCATTTGAATGCTTTAATGCACGACCGACTATTTCTATAATTCATAGTGAATCTTCGTTTGTTTATGTATAGTTTTAGTGCAGTCCGGTAATTAAAAATTCCATTTCTTTATCTGTACATTAATGGTTTGTGGTAATGTCTTGTATTTGTCTATAATCGATTTCTTTTAGCTATTCGAATTACAGCAATTTTGATAGTCGAAAGATGACTGTAACCTCTCGAACCGATATGTGTCCTCAAGAACGTCATCGAACTCATTACAGTCATCTATCTGAAATGCGCAGCCGTCAGTTGAGATCGAACCCCTCAACTTCACGAGTGAGAGTTGAGGATGGTAGACGAGAGTATCGTGCAGTTAGTAGAAGCCCACCGAGGTCAAGAGATTCTGCAATGATGCGTCCGTACCCAGTTTCCCTCAGTTTCAATCGTCATCGCACGGAAACCAGTCATCGTAGCCGCAGTCCATCAATGTTCCAGTCTGTACCACACAGGCCTGAAATTGTGGAATATGAACACCGTTCAGGTACGCATTCATTTATTTAATATAAGTAGTCGATGCAACTGTGACTATTGTTTTGGTTATCCTTTTCTGTTCGATTAGAAATTGTAACGTAAGATAGCATGTTCATCACCAGTTTTACAAACCTAATTAAAAATTAGTCACTCATTTGCTAATGTAAGTCTTAGTTGCTTCATTGTTTTCAGATTATACTTAATCATTCTGGGGTCCATTGAGTAAGAACTAGAAGTAATCGTTTTATTTTCATGGTTTCAGAATTTGGTTGGGCACCAGATTTGCTTTGGTTTGATTTTCATGAGTATTCTGTACTAATAGCCAAATAATATATTTGTAATATTTTAGTTCCTGATGTTTCACGATTTAGTGAGTCGCTTATTCAGTGAGCAAATACCTTTATTAAATCACATGCTTCTACAGCCGGAAGCTGAAAATAGTCCACACCACACGAATAAGTATCGAGGAGAAATATAGAAAAAAGGCACGATGAAAATTAAAGAAGCTGGGAGATACAATTTTAGCTTATCTGACCAAGAAAGAATTCATTCAGCTCCTCCAATCATAGCATGGTCATTAGTTTCTATTTTTGTGCCATGTTTAGTAGTCTCAAGCTACTAAGTTTCACTATTTCTAGGACCCTAACAATGCAGTTGTATGGACGGATATCATTCCTGAGCATCTTCCTCTTATATTGCAAAGAACCAAGACGTGGAGAAGTAAAGGATCAGTAGTATTACTAGAAATTGCTTACTGCGTTTATGAAAGATGAGATCAGTACTGAATGTACCATTTGCATCTACACATATTTGTCCGTATTGTTATTGCTCACCAGAATATCACAGCATGATGTCATCAATTGGTTATCTTTCCACTTTTTCACATCTTGTGCCTGTAAGTTTCTGGAATAACAGTAAGACAACGATGATCAAACAAAGAGATTGGCCTAACATATTCAATTCGAAGAGAGCACGTTTTACAGGCACAGAGCATGACTGTTCTGAGCGACGCATTCCAGGCCTGACGTTTTACAGACAGATTAGTGTCAGGACTAGCTCAACAATTGCCGTGATTGGCATAAGCTACTCTGGCTTTTACTATATGTATATTTAGCTGATCCATTGCTCTAACAAAAACACCTAGTTGTTGATTGCCCAAACAAATGTTTGTAAAAAAGGGTTCAAACCTTAAACTTGGTTGCTGGAATTCATACAGCAAAACTACAAAGCCACCTTGAGGAACTACTCGTCTTTGAAGACTTCGTTGAATGTTACTAATTGGCGTTTCATCATTTTCATAGATTTCACTTGTAACAGACTTCTTGCTGTTACTTTCAACGATGAGTTGAAACAATGTTCTCCAGTTATCACATGTGGCTACCGTTTCTAACTCTCTGATATTCTTTAACCATTGAGATTCCCGTTCTTTACGAAAGCCGCAAAGTTATGCTTAAAATCTGAATTTATTGTCAAACTTAATGCAACATGATGACTTCATTCACAATAACGATGACGAATGAAGTGCAACTGATCGGTTAACTTTGTATATCATACTTAGGTCACAAATAAATTAATTAACTAGGGTGAATATGCGATAGTACAGAATGAGCGTAAACTCTGAAATGACTTGTCTGTTAAAAATGAGAATGAATCCACATACACGTTAAAGTGATTGCTATACTAATATTTTGCAGCTGCAACTTCAGTACAGTGAGAAAAACTGCTTCTATTCCATCCGGTGTCCCACTAACTAGAGTAAGAAGTTCGATTTGGTAATAGAAGCTTTATCGACTATGAATCCGGTAGAATTAAAAATATATTCAAGCCAATTATTTGTTTATTGATTACGGTGATCAGAGTTTATGAACTGAGTGATTGTTGCTGAACACAGAAAGTAGTGAGAATGGATTGAAATTTCCTAATGTGGTAAAAATATGCTGAAAGTTAAGCCTACCTACATTGAACACACGTTTAAACCTGTCTCTCTTTGAGTGTGTGCCACCGACCAGGAATTTGTAATGGACTCTGTTGTGGGTTCGTTTCCAGTTGTCACTGCATTATCCTGTTTGCTTAAATTTGCTTGCAGGTAGTACACGTGACATACATTAAATTGATGAGATGGAACATTCTTGATGCGCTACTCTGAATGGAGTAATTGCATAAAGGCATGATCCTACATTGATTGTAAGTTGAACTTCATTTGGTCTTGGTGTGGACATGACGAAGAGCGGAGTAAGGTTAAGCACAAGCTGATAAAAAGTCAACGCAATGATCACGAACAGTGGTAGGTAGTGAAAGCGAGAGAGATGGAAAAGGTAGCGGCGATAGGTAACAGTGGACAACTGTTCAGAATTATCAAGGAGAGCGGAATTAAGGATCCGACTGTAAGTGAGACTATCTGGGAAAAGGATGGAGATTGGATAGATGGGCAGAACACAAGGGAACGGTTCACTCGGCCTTCAGGCACTCTTCGGTTACCCACGATCTGCAGTCAACGTGAATGTCGAATGGGTGTAAGTCCTCCAATTCTGAATGAAGTTGAGAATGCTATAGGAAATGTGAAAGGAGGTAGAACAGCGGGTCTTGATGGATTGACCGCTGAGATTTTCGAGGATGGTGGTCGAGTTTTAGGAGTTATATTGACAGTGATCTTGAGTCGAATTCGGGAGCTGTACGTAATCCTTTCTGACTGATTTCATTCACTGTCCCAGTTTATATGAAAGGACAAAAGTTCTCTTGTGACAATCACAGACGAATCAGTCTAGCTAATAGTGTCTAAAGTGTTAGCCTCGATAATGCTCCGACGCCTAACTGGATCTCGTGAAGAGCAGCCTCGAGCAAACCAGGCTGATTTCCGACATGGACGTGGATGTATGGACCACATATTGACTCTCCGAAAATAGTAGCATTCCTGACCTCAAAGCGGTATTTGACGCTGTCTATCCTGAAGGTTTAGTGGCAGTGTCTGTTATTGAAAAGAGTACCAAAGAAGTGCATTAACCTTATAGAAGCTCTCAACTCGGACACTACTGGCCGAGTCAGAGCTTATTGCGAACTGTCATCGGAACTGACTAGTTCATGTGGTGTTCGTCAAGGTTGTCCACTCTCTCCATTCTTATTCAACTTTGTCATAGACATTGTTTTAGAGACAACACTGTCTTCGTCTGAATTTTCAGGAGTTGAACTTTTACCGGCAGATTCACTTGTTGACTTTGAGTTTGCTGATGACATAGTTATATTCGATGAAGACGCTGACAAAATGCAGTCCTCTGACTATCCTGAGCAACACTGCAAGCATGTTCGGAATGCGATTCTCCCACTCGAAATGCCAAATGTTGCTTCAGGATTGGCTTGTGTCATCACCTGAACCAGGCGAGAGCAGTACATCTCAAAAATGCATGAGGCCATTGACAAGTTGACTGAGCTGTGTTGGTAGGTGTCGATCGGCCTTCAGCCACATTTCGGTTACTCACAATCTGCAGTTAAACCTGAATGGCGACTTGATGTACGTCCTCCAACCCTGGATGAAGTTTAGAATGCTAAACACGAAGTAGTGAGAATGGATTGAAATTTCCTAATGTGGTAAAAATATGCTGAAAGTTAAGCCTACCTACATTGAACACACGTTTAAACCTGTCTCTCTTTGAGTGTGTGCCACCGACCAGGAATTTGTAATGGACTCTGTTGTGGGTTCGTTTCCAGTTGTCACTGCATTATCCTGTTTGCTTAAATTTGCTTGCAGGTAGTACACGTGACATACATTAACTTGATGAGATGGAACATTCTTGATGCGCTACTCTGAATGGAGTAATTGCATAAAGGCATGATCCTACATTGATTGTAAGTTGAACTTCATTTGGTCTTGGTGTGGACATGACGAAGAGCGGAGCTATAGGAAATGTGAAAGGCGGTAGAACAGCGTGTCGTGATAGATGGACAGCTGAGATTTTTGAGGATGGTGATGGAGTTTTAGCAGTTATGTTGACTTAGGAGCACTTCTCCTGAAGTTGTAAATTGTGTCTGGTCGGCTTTACTTATTCCCAGCGTAGCATGGTCAACGCTTCTCCTCTCTGCTATTATTGAAATAACTCTTCTGATCTCTTTTATTTTGAGAATATTTCCGTGTACCTGAGTCAATTGTTGCTCTGGCTGTTATTGAATAATTAACTTCGTGACGACTGAAGAATCTTATCGTTCACCTTAATTGGCCAAAATTGTTCTTTGCGAAGATCCTTTATTTGTCAAGGCAATACTAAATTTCAAAAATTTAGAATTATCCAAGAATGTATATGAAATGCTCTAACGGTATGTTTAAGGCAATTGTGTTTACTTTGCTAACTGAGAATACTGTCAGTAAACATAAAACTGAAAGGATTGTTTTCGAAATTCACCTGCTATATAAGTACATCAGTCGTGTTGTGTATCAATTGTCAAATTGTCATATTTGATTTTAAAGAAAAGCATAGATTTTTGTTCATTCATTATTTTATTTGACACGTTGAAAACACCAATGTAAAATTTGCTTAGTTTAACATGTTTTTCTAGGCTAAGAGTAAGTTTAGCACATAATTTTACCTTTGAATTACTTTCTATAATTGTAGAGCCAAGAACAAGTTGGCAAACTGACAGACGATCCAAAGTCCTTTCATCTCTATCACAATCGTGGAGGCCAGCTAACAATGCATTTTTCCTATCTACTGCATACGAAAACAGAAACACGGGTCGCCGATATCAATGAAATTTATTATTTATTATATACTAACAATATATAATATTCATAAAACTAAGCGACTGTTTACTTCTTTCAAATAGCTGTAGTATATGTATTATATGTGAAAAGGAGAAGTTATTTCCAGAAACAATATTAGCGTTCACTGATTCCTATGAAGCATTTACATTATAGTAATATAAACAATCGTATTCTTTTCATGGACAGTATTGATTGATGTAGTGGTGTGTGTCTTTACAACGAGGAAGAGGTGAAGTAGGAAGGAGGGGGAGCGAGTAGCTGGTGGAGAGTTGGCGGTTAGACTGATGAAGGAAGTGTGGACGTGAATGTGTTTGTCGGTGTTGTGAAGTATGAGAGCAGGGTGGTGGTAGTGGTGGTGATGATGATGATGATGACGAGATTGTGTTGTTGTTTCGTTGGTGGCAGCAGTGCGATTGCATGGAGGTGTGAGAGTGTTCGTTTGAGTTTTGTGTAATGGTTGGTGTTGAGTGTGAGTAGTTGTGGAGTGTTTTGTGGCTGTGTGTAGTTGTGGACATAGTTGTTGTGTGAGGAGGAGGAACCCTTGTTGATCCGTCGTGGAGATGTGTAGTCTCCAGGAAGCCAACGATGAGGGGAAATGTGTTCTGGTCTCTTCGGTGAACCAGGATTGTACGGGTTCACACTTGTCACCAGGTAGATGATGTGTTTAGTGTATTAGTGTGGCGAATGATGTGTGGTATTGGTTTGTTTGGGGTATGTGTTGAATAGTGTTGACGGTGTTGAGATGAGGTAGAGCTGGGTGTAGAATGGTGATGGTATGTTTGTTGTTGTTGTTGTTGTTGAGGTTGTTGATCGATTGTGAGTTGATGTGGGTGTTGTGTGTGAGTCGGTTATTTGCCAGTGAGTTTGTATGATAGGAAGGTAGTGAGTGGTATTGTTGGTGTTGTTGGTTTAGAATTAGTTAGAAGTGGTGTCGGCGAGCGAGTGAGTGTTTGTTTGTGAGAGTTGTTTGGCGAGTGAATTTTTGTGCGTTTCTAATTTGTATTGTAGTATTTTGTTTGCTGATAGTATTGACTATTTTGGTGTTGTGTGTGTATGTGTTTGTGAGGCGGAGGTAGAGGGAGAGAGGATCCGCTGTATAGTTCGGATTTGAATGAATGTTGGAAGTGATGATTTTGAGTGAGAGTTGTTAGCACATGTGTATTTGAGTGTGTGAGAGTCACTCTTTGTGCAGTACGCGTAAAGCCGTGCAAACACTCACTTTTGATGCTAATGGACACTAGTGCATTCCTTATTGGTTGGGCGGGTCATAGCTCGTAATCTTCACACCATATATATTCAAGTTTTGTCGTACTACCTGAAAGAAGCCACTTTCCAAAGCCATACCCTGTTGTATATGAATCTGTAAATCTTGGATCGTCTCTACTTTTAGTGATCTGATCAACTGCCTATCCAATTGTAAATGAAAATCTGAAGCGGACAAAAGTTTATGATTCCTGTAAACAAATTCATCGTATTTTGGAAACAACAGGAAACCCTTGAATTTTGTTGTTATTATCGTAGGATCAATGCTGCGAGCAAGTGGCCGACTACTTTGCTTTGAACCGTTATGACCAGGAAAGTTTAATGTGGTTTGTATTCACCACCGCTGCTGCACAGTTCAGATTAAATGAGCTGTGATTAGTCATTTCTACAGTGGCCGTTCCAATCGGTTCCAATAGGTGCACTCCTGAACTCGTTTCTCCCAGTCCAAGTTTCCGAGAAGGCAAAAATTCTAGGAGAAAGCGTCTTTTTTCATAAAAACATGGAAATACAAAGCAGTACCTGGAATTAATACACCTTCCAGGTTACAATTACTCCGAAGAGTATCCGAAACAAAAATAGATAAGTGACGTTAAGTCCAACCGCCACTGTATCAATCCAAATATGGCTGTAGCCATATTAAAGGTCAAATTTAAACAACATATATACAGATCAGAAGCAAACACAAAAACTTCAATATAAGTACAAAATATAGTAATAATTACAATATACAATGATAAAATCTCAAATTGGAATCAAATAAAATACCAAAATGTCAACAGAAAAAGTCCGTCATGTCATAACAAAAATATGTAAACATGGAGGGATTTTCCTAAAAACAAAACATTAGAAAAGGATTCTACACTCACTAACATTCAATTCATCTGAATAAATCATCAGTTTGTTTTTGTGTAATGGCATGGTTCTATCATATTTGTTCAAGTCATTCTTATCACTATTATTATATTCGGGAATCGCAATGTGAGTGCAATAACCAACTGAATAGTCTGAATTGAAATGATCTTTGGAACGATTATAGAAGTGGTAGTGTTCATGGTATTGATAGGCTAGCAGTATTCTACTGATTCAAAATGCTGGCAACGTTGTAATTCAGATGGTCGTTTGATTTCATATTTCACATACATCTCATTTAAGTCACTCAAACCAATCTTCACTGCCGACTTGTCTAATTACATTTTCTGATGTCATGGGTTACTGAGCCTAATTCCATAAAATCTCTGTGCTGTTGACACCGATTTCGAATTCGCAATGAGACATTTGTTGACTGCATACATTCATTTAGATAGCTCAAATTGGATGTTGAAAAGATCAGACTGAGACGGTTCAATGTTGAAAATATAATTTCTATCCGGCTCATATCTCAATAATTTGCTATTCCAGGATGATCAAACTGACAAAGTGGTCAGTGGAGAAAACCACACTAGTTCAAGATTGCAAACTCAACAGACCACTAGTAGTGTAGTTTACTATTTAACAATTTATGCTGGTTCATTCTCCATAACGAATAAACTTACTAGTATTGATAATCAAATCTATAAATGTCATTGTAACAATACATGTTCATTCAATTTCTCCAAGAATCAATATTAACTTGCTCATTGAAATTGCTTTCATTACACATCTCTAATTAACTAATGGTGTTCAGTGTGTATTCTGAGCTTACCACAGTAATAATAATTATATTATTATTATTATTTGTACTTTTGTTCATCATTATTGTGATATATTGCAGCTTCTGATATTGTTTCCTGGACTGTTGTACTTCATATCGATTGTTCATGCTTGGTATGCGTTATTAATTAACACATAATTGAATAATGTTTGGCACAGCGGATTCAATCAAAGATAATAGTAAAATAATTATAATAATAGTTTATTTAAAATACAATGTGATTATATCTAACTTGAATGTTGTTTTAGTGTGACAATTTCTGAGTATCCATATATTTTACTTATTGAAAGCACTGAATAAATAAGTTCATGTTGTTCATCTGAAATTTCAATGTGCTATTATGATGTCAATAAAACATTGAATAAATATAACAGCAAAGTTCAGTCATTCGTGAAGAGATTGAAATAACAAGTTGAATTGATAGGTGTGATTTAACTAGGTAACTTCAGGTAATGAATACTAGTGTAGTGAACGGGATCACAGGCTGAGCAACTGGATTGTATTTAACGAAATTTACAGGGTTACTCAATAAAATCGGAAAACCATATCGTAAATCGGTAATTTGCAAAATATCTGTTCATCATATGGAACTGGACTGTTTCTGTTGCAAAACATCCGTCCATTGTCACTATACCTGCGTTCCATACAAATTACATTGTGTTTTAGCTCTTCCTTTCTAGATCTTCCCATATCTCCTGCTGCAAGTCATTACGTTGACAATCACGTCATATACTACTTAAAAGTAGCTAGCACCACACTTGGACAATTATTTGTGATTGACAAAAGAATCAATATCAAGTATTCGGTAGTAAATTACACAACTAGTTGTCTACTAAATTCAATAGAATTTAATGGATTCACCTTATTTTTTCTGGAAAATTGGAAACTTTGAAACCAAAACTCCATCTGAATTACCAGGTTGTCAAGATTTCGGATCAGTAGAGCACTACTCGTATCTGAATACCATGAACACTATCACAATGAAGATTACTTACTGAAAAGAAAACTGATGATGTTGTGATCACTCCAGCTATTATTGCTATTCAGATGGTGTCGTGTTGTCTCAATTCCTTTCGTTTCATTTTCACTCTCTGTTGACCTCACGAACCTTCACTTCATCTGAATAAATCATCAGTTTGTTTTTGTGTAATGGCATGGTTCTATCATATTTGTTCAAGTCATTCTTATCACTATTATTATATTCGGGAATCGCAATGTGAGTGCAATAACCAACTGAATAGTCTGAATTGAAATGATCTTTGGAACGATTATAGAAGTGGTAGTGTTCATGGTATTGATAGGCTAGCAGTATTCTACTGATTCAAAATGCTGGCAACGTTGTAATTCAGATGGTCGTTTGATTTCATATTTCACATACATCTCATTTAAGTCACTCAAACCAATCTTCACTGCCGACTTGTCTAATTACATTTTCTGATGTCATGGGTTACTGAGCCTAATTCCATAAAATCTCTGTGTTCTTGACATCAATTACTACTGATATTTTTTTTAGTAGTAATAGCAGTATTATCTGAAGTGATATTACTTCTCCTTGACTGCTATTCCAATCCTTTGTAACGTCCACCTTCACTCAATCATTATTATCTCCACTATTACGAATATCGTGCATTCATCTCGATTGTCTTAACGTTGCTTGTGGTACACGTTACAGGGTTTCTTGTACATGTCACTGATGGTGGATTACAACAGGTATATAACTCCCTACTCTATTCTTCATGCTGAATAGTCGACACAGCAGCACGACTCTGAAACCTGGATGGCTTCTTATGAAAACCAGAGTACTGATAGTGAACATTTGCTGTTGCCATCTTCGCCAAAATTCTCCACTCTGGAACATTCAACACTGTCATGAATCGAAGTGATCGATGAAAGTACACGAATAACATTTGTGGCACGCTCAAAATTCACAGCGACTCCACCCTAATAACCATTGTTTTTGCTATTCACATTTATCACACCGTCAACAGACTCCCGAGGTTTCACCTCGCCTCTATCATTGTTATTATCCGCAGTGATATTTCTACACTACACAACTTGAAAAATTGAGAGATAGTTGGCATCCGTGTTTCGACGTTAAATTACCACCTACACTGATGTTCAGAACAACAGATACGGAAAACTCGCTTGAGAAATGACTTAATCTGGATTTCACGTTTGCCAACATGGGATGATTGGTTGACTTTGAGATTTCATTTCACACTTGCAAATTCCATGGCCTTGATTGACAACTGTGTATTTTAGTGTGCTAGATTT